ATGGGCGACTCTCTTGTTCCTGCGCAACGCTGGGTCCACATTTTCCAATATCTTCGTGGATTCGCACTGCCTCGGGCATTTGCATGCCTCAAGACGGTTGCCAATGGCTGGGCGACATCGTACAGGATACTTCAGCCGCACGGGCGCCTCTCGTGCCGATTTGGATGTCCGCGGGGACCTGATGCTGTTTTCCACTACTTACAGTGCCAACCCTCTCGTCTCCTTCTGGAGCAAGAGCTCGGCTACTCGCGGCCCTCCCCCCCGCTGGGTCGTCTGGGCCTTATGGGCTCGGCTGTCGAACTGGACAAGATGCTCTTTGACGTTGCGGTGATGTACTACACATATGTCGGTGCAGCTCACTCTTCAGCCGCTTATGTTTGGAGGCGAGAGGCGGCGCGCTCCTTTGTCAAGGCAGCCATTCGTACCGTACAGCTAGGTGCTACTGCGCCATCGAGAGCACCCCCGGGGACAAGGTGTGCTGGGCGCGCGCGCCCTGACAAGAGAAACGGGCCATCCTGCTCTTCCTCACTCTCGTCATCGTCTTCCTCGTCTTCTTCTGGATCTCCCTCGCCACCATCGAGCGATGTGCCCCGTCCCTCGCCATCAACACCGGGTATCGACATCATTGAGGGCGCTTTTGCTCTTGCTGGGGGCTCGTCTTCATCGTGCTCTTCACCGAGATCGCCACCGTCACTCCCTTGCTGCATTCCGTCCACGTTATCGCCAACTCCCATTGCCACGGCCGCGACAACTCTGGGGGTGCCACTTGCCTGCTATGCCTTCGACCATGGTGCTGGTTACGGTTGAGTGGGAGACATTGTTGAGGTGTTCCCAAATGAAGAAGCCTGGCGATCCGCTTCCCGATGCTTATCATCACAGGTTTGCTTTATGCTGCGCCCGCAGAGTATCACGGCTCAAGCTGGGATATCCAGCGACTTACCTCAAATGATCGCCCTCGCTTTGGGATTTCTCTTTCAGCCTGTGGCTGTCGCTTATGGGGCCACTGCCAGCACTACATTTACAGCGACGACGAGCATTCCTACTCCACCGTTCACGCCTTTGCCGCCAGTTATGCGGCGCCCTGGGCTTACTCCTGGGCCGCGCGACCTTATTGGTGGACGAGAGCTGGGCGGTGATCGCGAGACGTCGACTACGGCTGCACTTCATGATGTGGATCTTCCTGCGCCCTTTGAATCCTTTGTCCCCCCATCGGAGGAGACAGGTCTTCCTATCGCCGCTCGCCGCCAGGCGCTCGAGGACAGAATTGAGGCGTGGGCTCGCTCGTGGATCACCACGCTGATGGTGAACACGTGCGGCTCTGACTTCGATCAATGGATGCAGTGGTGCCCTGACTATGTGGAGAACGTTCTCAGGTATGATGACTTTCAATTTCTTTGCGGTGGCTGGGCGGGCAGGCGGCAGCTCGCTCTGGACTGGTGTCTAAGCGGGTGGTACCGCAGCGCCATTGTTCGAGAGCAACTACGGCGCCTCCTCATTGACCCATGGCCTGAGCATGATGAGAAACGGACGCGGCGCCTCCGCCTTCTGGCCATGGCGCATGTGAAAAAGCTCGGGTGGCGTGCCGACCCGTCGCGCATGTCCGCAGCCAACCGCGACGACTACTTGGTGCAGATCACTGCGGCTCCACCGATCGCCCCACCTGCGCCCATGCCGCATGTCTACGTTCTTCCGCACCTGCTTATCGACCTGACGTTCGAAGCTCTCGCCCAGGGCGAACCGCCGCCTGATGAGGATAACGCCAGCATCGACCACGAGGGAGTCCCGAACCCCTCCGACTTGGATCTCGAGCTCATGGCGGCGGGCGCAGGCGACGGCGACGACCCCTCGAGCCACGCGCTGGATATCGCCATGCGAGCTGATGAGCACCCACCACATCCTGGGCCGCATCTCAGCGATGATGAATTCGAACGACAGCTTCTACGTGTTCTGCGGCGCTCTCGTGATGATGCCGACGAGGACCTGTCTCGCGACCCTGCGGTTGGTCCCCCGGGTGATGCCCCTCGGACTGCGGCTCCCGCTGCACCCGCGACGCAGAGTACGAGCAGCTCTTCGGGTGTGTCAACGAGCACTGATGATGACTTTGATGCAACGATGGCAACACACGGTTTCGGCGTCATCTACCCTGACGGCTCCGTGGGGGGGTGCCCTTCTGCCTGCTCTTGACGTACCACCAGTCCTGGAACATCCTCCTGTGGACCGTCCTCCCCCTATACCTGAAGCAGTGGCCGACGATTTCCCTGGCCCACAAGCTCTGGGTATTCCACCTGTGGATCGACTCCCACCTGTTCATTATGCTTCTGATCTCGCTCTTCATGATGATGGAGATGGCCATGCATGGGGAACTACCGCTACGTCGTGTGCCTGTTCCTGGCGTTCTTACCGGCCCCGCTCATGACCCCCAGATGAGGAACAAGTATGCGGCCGTGGACGTGATGTTTGGGGTGACTGGCCTGCTGCCGCACACCTCGCTCGCTCTCCAACTGGCGCTCGAGACCCTAAGCCAAGGCATAGACTCGCGCCCGACATCGACAGCATCAACTGCGTCTGCTCCAAGGGCGACGACTGAGGGAGCCCCAGCATCTGCAGAGAACCTCTCGCAACATGACAAGATCTCCCACCAGCAGATCGAGTACGCGATGCGGGCCTTGGACATTCTATACCCTGTACTACAAGATACTAGTCGGGAGATGATACGATGGATGCTACTACACCCTGCCTCCCCCGTCGTTGTCCATGACGAACTGCCAGCAGGCCCTGAGACCGTTCCTCTTCCTGCACCCGACCGCTTGCCTCATGCTCCGCCTCCTCCTGATGATGATCTGGCTGGTACTTCGGCCAGGGGTGAAGGTGCCTTCCCCGACTACACGCCCTTCGACCCCGCAGCGTTGGATGTTGCAGGGGTGGTTTCGGTTGCCTCCCCACCCGCGGCCTTCCCCGACTTCGACTTTTCTGACATGGAGGACAGTGGTGCTGGGGACACTGCGCACGTGGATGATAGCACTGATACTGGCCACACCGCGCTGGTCGTCGACGCGATTGACGGCTCGGTCAGCCCCATCGACTCCGCCTACGACGCCCTGGACTTCAACAGCGTGAGCCTGAGAGGCTCCGCGCTCGCGCGCACGCAGCGGCCATAGGCGGGGAGAGACGGTCGCCAAGGACGCTCGCTCCTCCTCCTCCTCCTCCTCCTCCTCCTCCTCCTCCTCCTCCTCTTCCTCCTCAATTCCCTCCTCCTCCTCCTCAATCCCCTCCTGCCCCTCCTCCTCCTCCTCCTCCTCCTCCTCCTCCTCCTCCTCCTCCTCCTCCTCCTCCTCCTCCTCCTCCTCTTCCTTCTCAATCCCCTCCTCCCCCTCCTCCTCCTCCCCCTCCAAGCAAGGGAAGGGGACCGCAAACGACGTGAGGAAGGGGGAGGGAGGGGGGAGCGCGACCGGTGGGCTCACGGAGGCTTGAGAAGTGCGCGCGACGACAACCATGACCAGAACATGTTTTCGTTCTGCGCTCTTGTGGTCGAAGTGGCTGCACGCTGTGTTATTTTTTTCTGCGCTGAAGTGGTTTTTTTGCGTTGCAATTGCGTTTCCTCTGCAGCTTCGCCATGGAAATTGGAGCTTCGTTTGCGGGGTGACACTTGGGGAGGCGTGGGAGTTTCAGCGAAGGTGCGCAGCGACATTCGAAGACGAAAATGACCAGCAACGCCGAGTATCAGCATCGCATGCTGATGTTAGCAGCTGTTTTTGCACTGTAGCCACTGCTTCGTCATGCATGCGTGTTGCGTTGCAGCTTCGCTGCAAAAACTTGTGTTTCGGTCCGATTGTTAGGGCCCGTCTGGCCGATCAGCTTCGTTCTTGCATTGCTGATCTGTTGGTCCGTTTGTGGTATCTGTTTGGTCTGGTTGGTTTGGTTGCACTGGTTGGCCTTGGCTGGCTCGAGCCTTGTTTTGTTTGACTGGTCTAATTACTTCGCTTGGTCTGGCGAGCGGTCGTCTGCATTATATGACGAGCTTGTGGTCGGGAGTTACATGCTTTGTCTGACGGGTCTGGGTGGTTTGTCCTGGTTGGTCGCTGTGATGATAGTAGGTTTGCTTATTTCGTGTGGTGTCGGATCGGTCATGTGGTTAATAATTATGCATCGGATTGTTGGACATGGTCTGGTTGGTTTGGTCGGCTAGATACGTTGGTGTGGTTGCATGGGTCGGTCTGGTTGAGCTGGCGCTGTCGGTGTTGCTTGTTTTGTTTGGCTTTAGCGATACTGAAGCTTTACCAGGATCGGCCTGGCCGTCCTCTCGTCCCACCTTTACTCTTCGTGTTCCTCGTCCTTCCGTTTGACTCTTTGCTTTCCCTATCGAGCTCTGCCACTTCCCTCCTCTTCCCTTCATTGCCCTCGATATATTATGTAGTGCGCTTCGCGCACCGTCAGGCTCAATCTCATTTGTCTCTTGCGTGCTCCTGCGCCTCCTCAGGCTCTTGCTCGTTTTCCCCGTGCTCCTCTTCTCCCTCTTGTTTCCGCCTAGGCTTGGCTGCCCTGATTGATTCGTTTTGGTCTGGCTGCTTCGGCCCGCCGCGTTGAAGATGCGGGGGGTGGGGGCAGAATGGGAGGAAAGAGAGAGAGAGAGGGACAGGAAAAGCGAGAGAGAGAGAGAGAGAGTTAGAGAGAGAAAGATGACAAAACAGGAGCGGGGGGAAAGGGGCGGAAGGAGGAGGAGGAAAGAGTACGCGAGGGCGACCAGGATTATGCTGATTCACGTGTTCCACATCCAGATGGGGAAAAGGGGGCGGGGGAGGAGGAGTAACCGCAAGAAGACTGCGAATATGAAAACCATTAGATTTGCTATCAAGTACGAGAACGACGCTCCTCCTCCTCCTCCTCCTCCTCTGTTTCTCCTCCTCCTCCATCTCCTCTTCCTCGAGAATGAGTAGACGCGAGAGACACACCGAGAGAGAGAGAGAGAGAAAAAAAAAAAAAAAAAAAAAAACGTGCCCGAGGTGGAGCCCGCCACGCCGCGAAAGCCCCACAGGGCTGCGTGGCCCCTCGCCGCTCTCGCCGGCGCGGGCGCGGCCCCAGCGCTGCCGCGCGCTGCTGCTCCACAGGGGGGGGGAGGGCGGGGGGCGAGCAGGTCGAGCCGACTGCCTGCCGAGGGGGGGGCGGACGAGCATCAGAGAGAGCATCAGAGAGAGCATCAGAGGCGACGGGGGGGGGAACAGGGGACGGGTGGGGACGAGCATCAGAGAGAGCATTCGCGCCCGTGGGGCGCGTACGTGTTCCTGCTTCGTCAACGCGTTCGCCCGGGCAGCGAAGTACGTCCAAGGGGATGGGGGCCCTTGCATGTGAGTCATCTTGGAGGTTCATCTTTTTGTCTTCTAGTGTGCATGCACGCTTTGAGGACTCATGCCGACTGCGCCTGAGGAGGAGGAGGAGGAGGAGGAGGAGGAGGTAGGAGGGGGGAGGGCGAGAAGGTGGAGGGAGAGGAATTGGAGGAGTTGGGGGGAGGGGGAAGGGTGAGAATGAGGAGGAGGAGGAGGTCCAGAACAAACCCATGATTCATCAGCGATGCTGCAATAGATCCTCCCGTTCCAAGTCCCCTTCTTCTTCTTCACTGCAAGAAGCGTCCCCCAGAAAGAGAAGCACCCGATGGGCTTGCCGTTCAGGCGACAGCCTCGCTTTGACAGGGAGGCGCCATGCATCGCTTCGGCGCAGGAGCAGGAATGCGACAAGGCAGGAGCATGTAGCTCAACGAAGTGTCCAACGATATTCCCGTTTGGGCGATGACCGTCCCCAACCCGTGCAGCCGTTGCACAAGCTTGCACGCATGGCCATGAACTTCGAGGTACTACCAAGCGAAAGGCCCACTTTGGAAAGGGCCCACTCTCCATGCGAGCAGTTGCAACAGACCGTGGAGATCATTATATTGCGAAAGCCTTACGGCCGGCGCCGCCGACCTTGAAGGGGGGACGACGACGAAGACAGCGACGATGAATTGATTCAAAAATCTAAGGAACGAGAGGGATGAGGAGGAGGGGGACGGAGGAGGTGAAGGGGAAGGGGAAAAGGATGGAGGAGGGAAGATAATTAGGAGGAGGAAGGATGACGAGCTGGATTGTGGAGGAGTTGCCATGGATTCGCCATTTACCAGGATTGGGGTGGTGTGTCGCCACCAAAACAAAACGGCAGCGCGGCAACCACTTTACTGTGTACACGCCGTCGGGCTGCCGACGACGACGACGCTGACGTGGGTCAGAGTCCTCAGGGATGCTTCTTGGGGTCTGGTCGAAACGCTTTGGGGGCCTCGGGTGACAATGTAGGGGTCTCTTGGGAGCCTCTTGGGGGCCTGTTGGGGCTTCTGGGGGCCTCTCGGGAGCATCTTGGAGTCTATACGGGGTTTCTTGGGGGCCTTTTGGGATCCTCATGGTTTCGCCTGGGAGCATTCGGGGCGGAGGGTTCGAAGTGTCCGTTTGGGTCCGTCGTTTCGGCACCGTCTTCGAGCCGTCTCGGTGGCTTCTAGGGCCTTTTTGGAAGCGTATTGGGCCGTTTTGGGACTCCGTTGGGCCGTTTTGGGTCATTCGTGGAACCTTATGGGGCTGTCTGGGGGCGATACGGGAGGCCGCTTCGACCGTCTTGGAGCGTCGGGAAGCAGAAGAGGCTAGAACGCCGAAATCATCAAAAATCCGATGGGCAATTTACGATTTTTGTTTTCACGGCGCTCTTGGGACTGCTCTTGGCGGCCTCCTCGAGCGTCTTGCAGGATTCTTGGCCCGTCTGGAGGCCGTCCAGGCGTCTTGGACAGATCGTTCGGCGATTCAGGGCCCGCGCGGACTGTCTTTAGGAGCTTTTGGGCCACTCTTGGCACGTGTGTTGCGGCTCTTCTGCGGCCCGGGGGCCCCCGGAGGGGAAGCGCACCTGACCTGGGACGCCCCCCGGCCGGGACCTGGGTCCAGACCCAGGACCCCCCCCCCATCCCAGCGGGGGAGGGATCAAAGTGAAGGGGCTCCCTTTCGAATGTATGACGACGTTGCTCAATTTCGATGTGGCTGACGCGCTGAAGGAGGAGAGCCCAGGAAAGGAGAGAGGAGCGGCGACCGGCACAGGGAAAGGAAAGCACAGGGAAAGAGGACGATAGAGACGACGACAGAATGACAACAACGACGACGACTCGAACGGAAAAGCCCCTCGCGCACGCCGACAGGGTCGGCGGATTTGTTGTTATGATATTTGACGTTTGAAAACGCACCGTCCCCCATCCGAGTAAGTGCTGCCAGGCTTTATAAAACGAAGTTGCGCGACGCTTCGGCGATAGCCCCACTTTGAAAATGAGCTGACCTTCATCCCTGTAACAGCTACAAGTTGCAGGAGGACTGCGCGCGGCGCTAACCCAAGATTTCCTTTTGGAAAAGCTACGCGCGCCAGTGTGAGGACACATGCCTGCGGCGCTTAGGCGAGGGCTCCACGTCGAACAGATTTCTCGCTTCTGCAGACGTTTGCGCCGAATGCGCGTGGCGCGAAGGCGAGAGGCCAAGTTTGAAAACGGTTCGTGTCCAATTCGCACACTTGCTCCGCCTTCTCGACTTCAGGATCGATAAACGGCGAAGGCGTCCCGAGCCCAACGCGGGGGCCTGGGGAAAGGGCAGTCGGGAAGGGGAAGAGGGGGGGATGGGGACTGGGAGGAGGAGGAGGAGGAAGAGGAGGAGGAGGAGGAGGAGGAGGAGGAGGAGGAGGAGGAGGAGGAGGAGGAGGAGGAGGAGAGGAGGAGTAGGAGGAGGAGGAGGAGGAGGAGGAGGAGGAGGAGGGGGAGGAGGAGGAGGAGGAGGAGAAGGAGGAGGAGGAGGAGGAGGAGGAAACAGAAGAAGGAGGAGGAGGAAGTGAGGGGGAGGGAGAGGTGGAAAGTTGTCCTAAGTGTTCACATGGTTTGTACATCGTGGTTGCTGTTCTCTGTGCCCCCAGTGGCTTCCGTGAGCCGCCGAGGACTTCGGAGAGGAGGATTGTCTTGGAGGGGGCGATGAGAGGAGGATACGGTGGGCGAGGGGATGAGAAGAGGACCTGGTGCACAAGGGGAAAACAGGACACGGAGAAGGAGGGGCGGCAAAGGGCAGGGGAAGGGAGGGGACGGGGAGGATTTCGGAGTGGAGGGGTGGGGAAGGGCGAGGGGGCGGACTCGGCCGCCACCTCTCGCCCACACGGGGCGGCGCTGGATTGGCGGAGAGGCTGGGATCGAAGCCTCTTGGCCTGGGGGTCCGTCCCTCTCGGTGTTGGGGTGGTGGCGGGGGGGTCTCGGCTGCCCCACGAACTTCGAGAAAGGGACATGGGAGGGAAGAGGGAAAAACGGCGGGGACGACAACGAAGAGGAGGGGCAGGGGGAGGGGGACGAGGGAGAGCCGGAAGAAGGGGAGAGGGGGGAGGAGGAGGAGGAAGAGGAGGAGGAGGAGGAGGAGGAGGAGGAGGAGGAGGAGGAGGATTAGGAGAGCGAGGAGGACGAGGAGGAGGAGAAGAAGGACGAGGAGGACGAGGAGGAGGAGGAGAAGGAGGAGAAGGAAGAGGAGGCGGTGGAAGAGGAGGGGAATGGGGACAGGGAAAGGGAGGGGACTAGGAGGAGAAGGAGTGATAGGGGAGGAGGAAGAGGAGGTTAGGGGGAGGAGGTGGAGGAGGAGGAGGAGGAGAAGGAGGAGGAGGAGGACGAGGAGGAGACAATGGGAAAGGGAAGGGGGAGAGAGGAGGACGAGAAGAGGCCTCAAGCCTCTGCCGCGCTAGAGCGCGAGGTGCGGGCGTGGCTCAACCCTCCTGCACCCCCTGGCGTTTAGCATAGGACATCCAGGAGGCCCTCGCGACGACCACCAGTCTAACCCTTCCCCCCGCTCCTCGCTTCTCCTCCTCCTCCTCCTCCTCCTTCTTCCTCCTCCGCCTCTCCTCCTCCTCCTCATCATCATCATCATCATCTCATCATCATCATCATCACATCATCATCATCATCATCATCATCCTATCCTACTCCTCTAACCTCCGCCTACCTTCTCCTCCTCCTCCTCCTCCTCCTCCTCCTCCTCCTCCTCCTCCTCCTCCTCCTCCTCCTCCTCCTCCTCCTCCTCCTCCTCTCATCATCATCATCATCATCATCATCATCATCTCATCCTCATCCTCATCCTCATCCTCATCCTCATCCTCCTTCCCCCCTCCTCCCTCCTCACCTCCCGTCTCCTTTTTCCTGGTCCCCCTTCTGCTCACAAGCCGAAGCCATTCTGGCTCAAGCGCTGCCTGCCCCCCCCTCGGACCCCCCTGCCTGTTACTGTCTTGTCCCGCGCCCCTCTGCTGCCATCCGATCACCAGGTCAGCGTTGCCCGCGGAGCCCAGGAGCTGGGGCGCGGCTGGCGGAAGCTGCGGGTCCACCGCCACTCGCGCATGGCGCGCGCCGGCAGGGCAACGCCAGCATCGGCGCGCAACAGGCTCTGGATTCAGCACGCGGACCCCAACATCGAGCATTCAGAGTTCCCGTTGTTGATGTTGAATTTGAGTTTCGTCTACAATGTGCTCGTGAGAATGGCCAGACGTCCAGGCCGTGTGCGGGCAAGGGTCCCCAGATCATCAGCTGGAACGTGCGGCGGCTCGCGGCGGCCAATGTGGACGCAGCGCTGGACATGCTCACGAGCTACATCGGCAGCCAACATGTTGCAGTATGCTTCCAGGAGGTCGAGGGGTGGCCTGTAGGGCACAAGCAAGCAGTGGTTGCACCTTCCAGACTGCCGACGGAGAACTGGCACACAACTGAGTGGGAGTGGACGAACATCGTAAAAGATTTCTGCGCCCAGAAAGACCACGACCCGCGGAGGCACGCCAGCAGGACGATCGCATCGACAGCTACCTCCGCCGAGCCACGCAGGAGGAGCAAGAAGGGCGTCGACAGTCGCACGATTTGCGTCGACCGTTTCAAGATCTGCTTCTTCGGCGATTACATATACCTCGTCATATGTGGCGTGTATGTCTTCATGGGTTACATTTAGCGCATCATTGTCACGGAATGATGCTGCGGTCGCCTTTACCGGTATCATGCATATGTGTTTTCGCAGGGCTTGTCGTCCTCCGAGGGTCCTGCGCGGTCGCCGCGTGGATCGGGCTACCACTCCACCCCACAATTCTTGTTACTCTA